GGACTTCTGCAGAGGACTGGGGAGAAGGCACACAAGGAGTCTGTGAACTGGGCAGCTCTGTCTGTCCAGTGTCCTGGATTATGTACCTGCCAGGGGTGGTGACCAGCAGGATCAAGGGTTGCACATACTAACCAACGCTGAGCCTCGGAGACATGCAGCAGATGGCAGCCCTGTGAACCTGGCCAGGGAAAACACTGGAACTTGGTGCCTGCACCTCCTGAGTGCCATTTCTGGCATCTACCAGTTCTGCAGCCTCTACCACTTTAGACTGAAGAATGACAAATGGTCGGGACAGATAGCTGATTCTGACCTTTGCAAACTACCTACAGAAGGTCTCTTCTCCCTCTGGTGGTTCCGGAAACTAGTCCAGAACTTAGCTCATGTGCCTAGTATTTAAAATGCAAGTGCAATATAAAGTCAGCCTCAAATTCTGAGAAGCAGTGGAAGTGGGATTAGGGTGGAAGTAGGGTCTGGTTCAGATTGAGACCTTTCACTTGGAAAACTTCCTTTCTGCATTTAGCTGTGTAGCAGCTCTTTGGTCTTCAGCTTCAGGGTCCACACTCCTGTTCCTGCCCCACCCATCAAGCAACACCACTCTTAGGCCCTACCCACAGAGTAGACTCAGGAGCCCAACTCTACTCTTGTTTCCAGAAAAGATTGGCAAAAATCCTGGCATGTCTCCTTGCATCCATGTTAATGAAGTAAACACATACAGAAGAGAACAAAGGATATTTATGTGAGCATTTTGGATGGAAGGGCACTTAAAAAAAGGAAAAACCACAAACTTCCAAGGTGAAATATGAGAGGATTTTTTTTTTACTTTGTCTTCATGTAGAAATAATGACCTGTATAAAACAAATATTTTGAAAATATCCTGAAAGTAAAGCAACCATGTTTTATGAAACAATTTATATTCACTTTCCAAAGATTATAAAATAGAAAAAAAGGGTGTGATGTATTAGTTGAATGTGGTGTTGGTCTCATTTCCTTTTGTGGTCATGGGTGTGAATATGTGTTTGGATGTTGAGAACACACCAAGAGTTAAAGCTTAATGATATTTATTACTAATATAGATCTATCTTGACAGAATATTGAAGACACAGATTTTCTGAGCTTTGGGAATACATCCCAGAACCACTCTGTAAAATCTCTGTCTAGGAGAGAAAGTGTGAGAAATCAGAATACCCTGAATTGAAATTACTGCCAGAATTGCCCTCTTCAGAACCAAGCTGCCCACAGAAATGTATTAGAATATGGTGTCATTCCAAGTATGTGGGGAAGCTGTGCATAGAATACCCATGCACTCTTGTTGGAATGTAAATGTAGCAGCTATCCCAAAGAACTATCTGGCAATGCTCAGTAACCCTTGGGTTATGTGTTTTTCCATGTTATAGTTGTGTTCTTAGGTATCTGTCCTAGACAAATTCTCTCTGAGTTCTGTAATTGACTATTGTACTTGATGATGGCCACCAAGTGGTAATCTGACTGTCCATGGGTGGATGTACAGTGGAGTGAGGCAAACTGTCACACACAGTCCCATCAGAAAGTAATATGCTGGATCTGGAAGAGGCAGATGAAATGTGTATAAATGATCTTAGAAACATACAAATGAATAAAAAGTAATAAAGAATATATGTGAATCTTTTTAGTTAAATAGAATATACCCACACAAAAATTAAAATTTTATAAGATGGATAAAATACTATAATACACATTTTAAAATAAAAGAGTTTCTTAATGGAAGAATTCCAACAAGTAGAAGAGAATATAATTGGGTATGGGTAACAATACAAAGCACATAATTACAAAAACAGAATAGGAATTTGGGGAGGGGGACTCTTATGAAAATGTTGCAGTCACTCAGTTTGTTTGTCCTTGGGCCTGAAAATCACATAGAGTGAGTCCCCTTCTTGATTAAGGTAATCTACTGGTAACAAAATTAGAAAAAACTTGAAGCACTATCTGGGACACTCAGTACACAATCAAATTATGCATTCATTAATTTTCCTACCTGGCTTGTACGCTTGAGCACCTACCTTTTCAGCTCCAGCATGAACTACGATTGTGATTTTACCATCATCTGACCTTAATTGTAGTCTAACCTGGGTCTCATCTCAACCAGGCAATGTTCTCTGAGGTGACAAGAGAATGACAATGATTGGTGTACTTGTCAGGACATGCCTGACTCACACAGACTTTCTATACTCAATGGAAATGGAACTTCCTATACTCAGGAACTGGATCCCTCCCTCCAAACACCTTCCCTCTCCCATGTGTCCATGGAAACACAAGCTGATCAGACCATGCCTTCCAGGAAGATATAAATTTCACATTGATCCTATCAGGTTTCAGGGAATTTTCAAAACAAATAAACATCAATTCTTCAGATGAGAATTTGAGTTTTGTTTTCTGGCATCCTGTACCATGCAACGCAGTTTACATGTGCACTGTCTGTATCTGAGTGAATCATTTGCCTTTTTCCCAGACCAGTGACATCGCTTAGCCTGATCAGAAATCTGAAGCTTTGGAACTCCACCCATCAAACTGGGAAGAGTTCCCTTAGTATCAGGCATGTCCAGAGCCCCCTATTCCGTGGAGGCTGAGCCAAGCACACACCTGGGCCCTAGCACTGGATGAGTTCACTGGATGAAGTCAACAGTATTGCCAATTCCCTCAATTCTCTTTTTGGCTTTTAGTTTTTCAGCATTTATGAAATTAAATTTTAAATGTTGTCAACTGACACACAATAAACCTATAAATAAACATATTTATTAACTACAATGTGATATTTCTATAATATAGTTTTTGAGCCTGTGCCTGTCTCATCCTTAGGAGCTTATCTTGAGAAGTTTTGTTCCACGACCCAGGTGTGGAGAGTCCATTCTCTCCACTGAATTCTACAACCTGCCACTATTGGTGCCTGAACCACAGCTTACAATCATCTGCCTCTTCTGATGTCCACAGTTTGTTTCCTGCCTTCCTTCCTTCCTTCATCCCTCTCTCCCTCCTTTCTTTCACTTTTCATTTTTACTTTCTCCTCTTTCCCTCTTAATTTTTGTTATGACTCTCTTTTCTCTTTATTCCCTTATTTCTCATGATTATCCTTTTCATTGTCTCTTCCCCCCAACACAGCTCATATAAAAGCCTGGTTCTGATAGAGTCATCATGAACATTAGGTTACTTTGCACTTAACCAGCCACCATGGGATATGAGAGTTGGCTGTGTCCTGCATTGTCTCTTGACTTTAACTTGATTTTCTCTCACAAACATAAGCCCTTCAAAAGCAGGAAGCAGCTCTTCAAGTCTCTCTATATGCTACATCCATCACAGAACTTCACTCATGGCAGATTACCACTCATGCTCCTTAAATATTTGGATTAAACTGACTTGGTTCCATTGAAGACAAACATGTGGTTAAGAAAAGCTCTGCTTTCATGCACTCTTTTTTTTTTTTTAACAGTTGAAAAGCAGAATATATTTTTGCTCCCAGTTAGACAATTACATTAAAATATGGGCAAAGGATTCCCCCCATATCTAAGCCAATTGCTTGTTCTGCAGCTTTTCTTTAAATGACACTCATGGATTCTTCAGTTGTTAAAAGTTCAACATATAACCAAAGCAAGTTAACTATGTACCCACCAACTACTCCAGAATTGTAGAACTTCAATGCCCTCCCCTATCCCCACCCACAAAAAACAAAAGGAAAGAACAAAAAGATTTCCCCAATACCCCACAGAGGCTGCTTAAACTCCTGGCAAGACATGCAAATCATATTTG